TTTTAAAAAAGAATAGAACTCTACAACAAATAATTTTTTTGAGAAAATCTCTATTACATTAAAACTAAAGACATATTATATCAGCCAATAGAGCTATTTTTTTAAAAAGGTAGGACAGAAAGTGACTTCTATACTTTTAAAATTTGAGCCAACTATATGTTTTACCTCCTATAGATTGGCAGGAAATGTCCTGTGATTGGTACTTTTAACACATTTTTCCCACACCTTTTGTATGTCTTTTCTGTACTTCCATACCTATTCCATACCAATTCCATATTTTATTTTTTATGGGGTATAAGTATAAATTAATTAAATTAATTAATAATGTCAAAAAGAAGAATTGAGATTGACAATTACAATAATTACAATGACAATGATAAAAGATAAATGTATTAGAATTGAATAATTATTAAAATAAATAAATAATTTTTTTTTGCAAAAAATAAAAAAATTCAAATTAATCTGTGCAGCAGTGTTGGAAATTCAGAGTGCGTGATAACCAGATATGGAAATTATCAGCGGATTTTTGCAAATAGTTGCCAAATTTGGTTAGCACCGTACCATCCACATCCTGAATTTCCAACACTGGTGACCAGTTGACCTGACTCTGTTCAGAGCTCTAGTTTACAACATGTGAAAAATTTGTCATGCTCAAGAACTAAAAACCAAACTGAAACAAATTTTCAGTTCAGAGCTTTAATTTTGTAATTTTTTATACTTTTACATTAAATTAATTTTATAAATTTTAATTATTACTATTTTATGAAAGGAGTGGATGGAAAAAACAGTTTCAAAGAACAAATGAAGGAATATTAAATGTGAAAATATTAACACAGATTATATTTTTAATTTATTTTTTCTATAAAGAGAAAAAAAGTCAATATTAACTATTAAAATGAAAGAAGGGTTAAATGAAAAGAAAGAATGGTGTGGGGTGAAAAGAGAGACTAAGGGGAGGGATAACTATTTTGGGCAATAATAATGATGTTTATTTAAAACATTGTATTTACAAGTCCATTTCCAAAATATTTTGGATAATCAACTGTTAACTTGGGAAATCTTATTTCTATCCAGCTATTATAATCATTTATATTATAATCACTATTATTGCTATTGTTACCTTTGTTGTTGTCATCAAGGTTGGAAATTTGCCCACACCATTCAGCATAATCTTGATTTACTGCTTCATATTCAAAAATAGCTTTACTAGCATATACATGTCTATTTAAAGAGTAATGCCACATTAAAGATTTTGATTGTTTAATTTGTTCTGTAGTTGTAGTAGCCGTTGGCAATGATGATGATGATGATGATGATGATGATGATGATGGTGATGATATATATATTGAAGGATTTTGTTGTTGATGTGATAAATATATTTGTGATGGTGATTCAAATTGTGATGATGATGAATCCAATGTATTTGCTGATGACGAAGTACTGGCATTTGCAGTAGTAGATGACAATGACAATGATGATGATGGTGGGACAGAATCTATAGGTTTTTGTTGATTATTCGTTAGCATCCATTGAATTATGGTAGTTGCTGTTGAAATTTCTTTTCCTTTTGTAGCAGACTTTAATGCTTTAAATTCCTTTAGAGAAATTTTTCTTCTATGTTGTTTTCCATTATTATTAGCGTGGTTATAGGAATTGATGGATGAAGAACTTGATATGGAGGATGATATTTGTGTATATGATTTGATTTGATCATTTTCATTATAATTTTTTATTTCTTGAATATTTTTTTCAATTTTGGCTTGTAAAATATTCACAAGATCTTTTCTAACCCCAGAATAATTTGATATAAATTCAAAGCATATTTTTAAATTTTCTAATCTAGTTTGTAAAGTTGCTGATATACTATTTTTTAAAGGTTTTTATGGAAGTGGGATGAGAAATATTGATTATTTCATATTATTAATTTTAATATTCATAGTAAATAAAATAAAATTACTTACTCAATCATAGTATAACTATTCTCTCCAATAAAATCATCATTACTATAATCAAATGATTTTCCATTATTTTTTCCAATTTTTCCAACAATCCTGCCCACTCTCCATACCAATAAACGCATGTAGTATATTCTAATATTTCTTGACCAATGACAGAACATATGTTCAAATATTTGTTCATTTAAAAGTATATCCCTGACTAAATGTTTTAAGTGGTTAGGTTGAGATGTTAAAAGTGGAAAATGGGTATATACAAAACTAATTGTTCTTAGGATTGTTATGGTATGATCAGAATTGTTGAGTAATATTTGGATTAATGAAATGTAAAAAGGTACATCAATTATGTTGGTAAGACTTGGTGATGAAAATAAAGCAGTGCTTGAATCATTTGAACTATTACTGCTACCAACTGAACTTGATGTTGACAGTTCAATTGGCATTACAATACTATCCCTAAAATATTATATTATTATTATTTATCTTTCTTTGTCTTTGACTTATAAATAAATTAATTGATAAATAAATTAAATTACCTTGCATCTAATTCCACTATTAACATATCAATAAAATCTAATAAACCTAGTAAAATAAATTTTACTTTAATTTTATTTTACCATTTATAAAAAAAAAAAATTTTTTTAAATAAACATAAATATATAAATACATACAAAATACACCTTCAACATCATACATATTTGTTTTTCTTACAACAGCCTTTATCCAAACGTTACACATCTCTTGAAAATAACCATTTTCCACAATAGCAACCATTGTTTCAACAAACCGTTTACTGGCTACCTCTAACACTTTAGGCTTACCTGAATTACTATTTCCACTATTATTATTGCCTGATCTACTAATCACAATTGCATTATTATTACTATTGTTATTATTGTTGTTACCTAAAGATAAAATTTCATCATTTTCACCATAATCCAAATTACTCTTATTGTCATTGCTATTATTATTATTACCACTAACTCCAATATTAGTTGCTGGTAAAGATCCCATACCAATAGCTGTAGCATCTATGTTTATGGTATTTGTGGTTGGAGAAATATTATTACTATTGTTGTTGCTTGAATTATTACCACTGTTATTAAGATTCCCCCTTGGTTGCTCAAATTGTATTACAGTGGTGATTGTATGAATGTTACGATGAATTAAGGATTCTATTTTAAGTAGAAAGAATGATGCTAAGTGAATATATCCTGGAGCAATAATATACTCAAAAGGAGGAGTCATTGATTTGAAGGCAATAGAATTGGGAATGTTTAAATAAGATTTTAATACAATATGATAATGTTTGTAAAATGAAAAAAACAATTCACTATCATCACTTTGCCATCTACAATATAAATAAATAAATAAATATTAAATTTTATTGGTATAATTATATAATATTAAATTTTTATATTACTAACCTACGTATCCAATTTCCATTCATTTCAATTGGAGGTTCACCCCAAATCTTTTTAGCATTTTCAAATTGATGCCACCATGTTCTAAGATTGACATAACACAAAATCTTTAAATGACTAGGAAATAACAATGCAATCTTATCATTTTGTGTTCTAATCAATTCCATACTAATAATGAATTTGAATAACCAATTAAATAAATTTTTTTTTAAAAAAAAAGGTTTATTAACTTATTAATTTATTAAATAACCTTTCATCCTCATCACCAATTGTTTCTTTTAATATTCTTTTGATATGAGATTTATTGACAGGTAAAGCTTGTAATAATGCAAATCCTACACCAGGGATCTTGAAGAAACATATTGCTAGAAAAATTTTCAAAAAAAAATAAAAAATAAAGTGTGTTGATAGAAACCTTTTAAATTACTCAAATGATTTCTTAAAGTAATAAATATTTTGTTAAAAGTCATATTAATGATTTTATTGATTTGCAATTCCATTATTAAATAAAATTTACCTAATACTCGAGCACAAAAGGATATTACATTGGAATATACACCTTTTTGATTTAATCTATCAATAGCATAGTACAAAGTACTCATTAAAGCAGTACGATATGTTAATATTATATCTAAAGGAATGTCCATATAAGTATCATTCACATCTAATTGAGGAATTGGTCCAATTTGATCTACACCAAGAAATCATTTTTGTTCAATATAATTATTATAAGTATTATAAATAATGACAATGAATGTTATGATGACTTATGATTTCTTACCCAAATCCTCAAATTCATTTCTAAAATTTAAATTTAAAAAAAATAAAGAACAATTAATATAATAATCAATATAATTGTTAAATAAATAAATATTAACCTAGTCATCAACATCAAAATGCATTCAAAATATAAAGTACGATCAGTGTAAGCAGCCTCAGGCAAAAATGTTATCAAAAGATTCCACCTTTGGCAAGACAAAAAAAAATTTTATTAAATTTATTAATATAAATATATTAAATCATTGTTACATTATGTTACCATTTCAAAAAGATCATTTGACCACATTGAAGTCCTTTATCTGTTGTTTTTACTATATCCAATTATTCAAATATAATTAATAATAATAGTGATTTGATGGATTATTTATTTTATTTTATTTTATTTATTTTATTTTATTTTACCAATTATATATTTCTTTAACCAAGGAATCACTATAGTTTTTAAAATTTCAACTTTGTGACGATCTTTAGATTGAAATCTATTTTTTAAAAAAAATTTAAACATTCATTTATTTATTGATGGTTTGTTTTCAAATTAATTTTTTTTAAGTTAAAAACAAAAGCTAACCTTGCTAAAGCTTTTTCTAGACTCTTATATTCAGAATTTTGAGAATGGCTCCAAGGCTTAAATAATTTATATTTGGAAGTTGTGTTATTTGTAGTTTTTTTTTTAATTGCAGCAACGGTAGTGGTTGTTGATGTATCCATCCTGGATGAGACAGAAGGAACAGAGGTCGAAGAATTGTTATTAGCTAATAATGATGAAATAAAATTATATTTTTTTTCTGATTGTTGTATTATGGTTGTTGAAATATTTGTTATAGTTTTGGTGGTGACTGTCATTGCTGACCGTTTAAGTTTTATGTTAGCAACCAACTAAACTCTACTATATTTAGACGGTAATAAAAAATTCAACGAAAATAACGACGGTTAAATGTGTATATTTGAGCATAGCATAGTAATTATCACAAACGTGACTTAAAATGTCGATCTTTTTTTTAACGAACGATCAAATCAGTGCAACATACTTTGTAACAATTTAGAAAAGATTGGTAATATTTAGAAAGAATTGGCAACGATGCTATCTCTCTCTGGAAATTTTTGAAAGAAAAGGAAAAATTTCGTTTCACAAAATTGATTGCATTGTATAAATCTTTTGATCATAATCACTCTCCCAATTTTTTTTAAAACGTTCAAAGGTTGTATTTATAAGTAAAAAAAAAAATGAAAAAGAAATCACTTGATTAAAATCGAGCCTTTTCCAAAAGAAAATTAATTAAGTGGTATATCGTGTAACAATTAGAGATTTTTGTGTATGAAATATATACAGTCAACCCCCCCCTATATGCACCCCCCATAAATGCACACCCTCTCTAAATGCACGCTCACACTCATTCCCGAGCTTGGAATTTAAGAGATAAGTGCACCCCTCTATACACTCACTGGTCATAAATATAAGGACACTTGCAGATCATCGGAAATAATTGAACAAAGAAACATGAAAAAAAATAAAAATTTTATTAACCTAACCGCATTTGCTTATTAAGTAAAAAT